CACTTCACCCTGTTCACTTCTTTCATCGTCGTCCAAGCCAAGGGGAAGGAGGGGCAGTTTCAGGCGTTCACTACTTTCACCACTTCAGCCTGTTCAATTCTTTCAACGTCATCCAAGCCAAGGGGAAGGAGGGGCAGTTTCAGGCCTTTACTACTTTCACCACTTCACCCTGTTCACTTCTTTAATCGCCATCAAAGCCAAGGGGAAGGAGGGGCAGTTTCATGCCTTCACTACTTTCACCACTTCACCCTGTTCGCTTTTCTCATCGTCGTCCAAGCCAAGGAAGGGCAGTTTTAGACCTTCACTACTTTCACCACTTCAGTCTGTTCACAATTTTCATCGTCGTCCAAGCCAAGGGGAAGGAGGGGCAATTTCAGGCCTTCACTACTTTCACCACTTCACTCTGTTCACAAATTTCATCGCCGTCCAAGCCAAGGGGAAGAAAAATGTGAACAGGGTGAAGTGGTGAAAGTGGTGAAGGCCTGAAATTGCCCCTCCTTTCCCTTGGCTTGGGCGACGATGAAAATTGTGAACAGGCTGAAGTGGTGAAAGTGGTGAAGGTCTGAAACTGCCCCTCCTTTCCCTTGGCTTGGACGATGATGAAATATGTGAACAGGGTGAAGTGGTGAAAGTGTTGACGACCTGAAACTGCCCCTCCTTTCCCTTGGCTTGGGCGACGATGAAAATTGTGAACAGGGTGAAGTGGTGAAAATAGTGAAGGCTTGAAACTGCCCCTCCTTTCCCTTGGCTTGGACGACGATGAAAATTGTGAACAGGCTGAAGTGGTGAAAGTGGTGAAGGCATGAAACTGCCCCTCCTTTCCTTTGGCTTGGGCTACGATGAAAATTGTGAACAGGCTGAAGTGGTGAAAGTGGTGAAGACCTGAAACTGCCCCTCATTTCCCTTGGCTTGGACGACGATGAAAAATGTGAACAGGCTGAAGTGGTGAAAGTAGTGAAGGCCTGAAATTGCCCCTCCTTTCCATTGGCTTGGACGATGGTGAAATATGTGAAGGTACTGAAGTGGTGAAAGTAGTGAAGGCCTGAAATTGCCCCTCGCCCGTCCTTTCTCTTTGCTTGCACGATAGTGAAAGAAGTGAACAGGCTGAAGTGGTGAAAGTAGTGAACGCCTGAAACTGCGCCTCCTTTCCCTTGGCTTGGACGATGATGAAAATTGTGAACGTACTGAAGTGGTGAAAGTAGTGAAGGTCTGAAACTGCCCCTCCTTTCCCTTGCCTTGAACGATGATAAAAAATGTGAAGGTAGTGAAGTGCTGAAAGTAATGAAGGTCTGATGATGGTGAAATATGTGAAGGTAGTGAAGTGGTGAAAATAGTGAAGGCCTGAAATTGCCCCTCCTTTCCATTGGCTTGGATTATGGTGAAATATGTGAAGGTAGTGAAGTGGTGAAAGTAGTGAAGTGGTGAAAGTAGTGAAGGTCTGAAATTGCCCCTCGCCCCTCCTTTCTCTTTGCTTGCACGATAGTGAAAGAAGTGAACAGCCTGAAATGGTGAAAGTAGCGAAGGTCTGAAATTGCCCCTCGCCCCTCCTTTCTCTCCGCTTGTACGATAGTGAAAGAAGTGAACAGCGTGAAGTGGTGAAAGTAGTGAAGGCCTGAAATTGCCCCTCTTTGGCTTACGTAAGTGGTGAAAGTAGTGAAGGCATGAAATTGCCCCCCGCGCCCTCCTTTCTCTTGGATTGCACGATGGTGAAATATGTGAATGTACTAAAGTGGTGAAAATAGTGAAGGCCTGAAAAAATTAGTGAAGTCCTGAAATTGCCCCCTCCCTCCCCTTGAGACCCTGAAAGCTACCGGAAGAAGATGGTTGGCCGGTTTGGCCGGCGGGGGTGGATTGGATGGATTGGCTGGGGGAGTAGGGGGGTGATGATGTCGTGACGACGGTGATGGCGGGTGTGTGGTTTTTGAGGGAGGTGACGCGGTCGGATATGGAGGTCATGGAGGCCTCGATTTTGCGGAGCGAGGCAGAGAGTGCTTGAAACATGGAGAGGAGAGATGTGTTCTCCCCGGTGCCTGGCTGGTCGACAAGCTCGTGGTGGATATCCTCGACGGAATCCACGCGGTTGTTGTGTTTTGCTTGGCCTGAATTCAGGGTGGGGGATGTGTTCTTCATGGTGAAAAAAGGAAGCTGCGATGATGAATGAGGATTATGAGGTTGTGTTGTTCATTACTTCAGATGCATTTAGGCGAGGCAATTTTAGGGGAGGGGCCTACACTAATTTCACCACTTCACTTTTTTCACAGCTTTCAGGGTCTCAAGGGGAGGGAGGGGGCAATTTGAGGACTTCACTAATTTCACATAGGCGAGGCAGGCCTCATCCTCCAACACCACCCCCCCACCGTCCTCCACCACACCTTCTTCCACCCCCGTCACTTCCCTTCCCGTTTCCCTCCCCTCCTCACAACCTACTACAAGCGCTTCCACCACTACACGAACCACCCCCCTTCGCATCTCCTCCCCCCTCACCCAACCTCTCCTAACTACTTCCACCGTCCCCTCTGTCCACCCCTCTTACTCCCAAGTCCTTTCGGACGTTTACCCCGCCATACCCCAACCTCCTCCTTGCTACCTCCTTGGTGACCGTAGTCAGGATCACACCTGTTACGACACCTCTCCCGACGACCGCAACTTCAACACCCTCGCTTGCATCGTCCCCCGCAACGGGGACATTCCCCGCTCCTTCCGCGCCACCGATATCGCGACGTTCTCCGGCCTCCCCCACGAGGACGTCCTCCTTTTCCTCTCTCAAATTCAAAATGCCTTCGATCTCCACAACATGCCCCTCGCTCATTGGCTCCCCACCGCAACCTCCCGCCTCCAAGGCGCCGCCGCTCAATGGTGGTTAACCGAAGCCAACAACCGCCGAGCCAACGGCCTTCCCCGCATCACCTTCCTTCAATGGGCCGACCTTCTCATCACCACCTTCCGTCCGCAAAAGACCATCGATGACTACATCGATCCATTTTGCAACCTCCGCCAAACCGGCCCCACCGAGCAATTCATCCAATACGTTCGCTCCTTCCGCCTCCACATCCCGTCGACTCTCATTCCCGACTTCGTCTTCATCTCCCGCATCAAGCGGGTATGCTTCCCCTACCTCGCAACAGCCCTCGCCCATGAGCCCGAGCTCCCTCTCACCGATCTCCTTACCCGCCTTTTCCACCATGACCGCCTTCCTCACCTCCGCTCTCAACGACCTGCCGCCCCCAACCGCACCCGGTTTTTCCACAACATGGCCTCCGACGACTCGTCACTCCCCTCCGACGACGGCCTTGACTCCTCTCCCGAGTCCCTTGACCCAGCCCAATTCACCGAGGAAGACTTCCAGGCTGTCCATCTCATGAGGATGGAACGGCAACGCCTGGCCTCCCTGCCTTCCTCCTCCACCCAACCCCCTCGTCTCAAAAAGCTCAGCCCCGCCGAACGCGCCTTCCTCCAGGCCAACGACGGTTGTTTCTGTTGCCGCCAGCTCGGGCATCAGCAAACCAATTGCCCCAAGGCCGACCGCTCCACCCACCAAGCTTCCCGCCCCACCGGATCCAGCCATCCCACATCCACTTCCTCCTCCTCCGCCGCGGCCTCTGGACCCTCCTCCACTTGAACACTGTCCCCCCGCCCCTTAAGCCATGTCCTGGCACCAACAATTCGTCTGCCAACCCCTCCCCCGGCAACGACTTTCACACCGGACACCCCCCAGGCATCGCAATCTACTCCGCCTGGCCTCCTCCCGACGACGTCCTCTATTCCGTCGGCTGAGCACCCCACGGCCACATGTTCCACTACCCTCCTCCCCAACCCCTCCACCATCACTTTCTTCGATCTCGTTGAGGAACAAGACCGACACACTCGGCTTGTTAGATTAGGCCTCGAGCAGCGCCGCCTCAACGCCATGATCTCCTCCGTTTGTGCTGGGACCACCCAGTTCCAGCTCAAGTTCATCGCCGTCTCCTTTGGAGCATCGACGGTGAAGTTTCGGGCCCTTCTCGACATTGGTGCCACCAACAACTTCATCACGGATGCCTGTGTTCGCAAAGCCGGCCTCTCTTCCACCGGCTATGATTCCCCGATCACCATCCGCCTAGGGGATAAGGACTCAGCCATCGTCGCTGACCGCACAGTCCCCGAGACCACAATGACTGTCGACCCTCTTTGCAGTCAGGTCTCCTTCGATGTCATGCACCTCATGTGCGACATCGTACTTGGGACTCCTTGGCTCGACCGCTATATGCCCTGTACCTTCCACCCCTCTTTCGTCCGCCTCTCCACCCCCCTCGATCCACCCCTTGACATCCCCTACCTTCTCCCTCCCTCCAACCCTTCCCCGTCTCTCCTCACCAATTTCTTCACATGACCCGTGAGCACCCCGACTCCGCCTACTATTGCCTTGTCATTGACTGCAACCGTCCCAAGGACTTGCTTCCAACGGACAAACCTGACCAAGACCCCCCCTCCGACACTCAGATCTCCGCCCTCCTATCCGAATTCAAAGACGTGTTTCCCGAATCCTTGCCCGCCGGACTACCTCCCGACCGAGGTGTTTCCCACACCATCGATCTCGAGCCTGGCCACTCCCCCCCTTGCCGCCCCCCATACCAGCTCTCTGTCCTCGAGGCCGAAGAAATGAAGTGCCAGCTCAATGAACTCCTTGAAAAAGGATTCATTAAGCCTAGCTCCTCCCCCTTGCCGCTGACCAAGACCTTTGCAGTTCACTTTGCTTCCATCATCGACCTGACCAAAACCTCCTTCAAGACCCCTATTGCTGCCGCTGACCTGGGACTGCTCAAGACTTCCGAAGACCCCTTCTTGCTGCCGATCAAGACACTTGAAGACCTCCCCCAGACCCCGTGACCCATTGCAGACCTCCGACTTTGTACCCACATCCCATCAAACATCCCAGCCCTTGTACATGCAAACTGTGCCCTTTAACCTTGCAACAAACAATTTTTATTTTTTTCTTCTTATTATTTTTATTTCATCCCCTGACAACCTATAACCCTGTAGAATTTCCACTGAAATACCCGTTCACCCTTGTAGATCATAAATAGGAAACCCTGTTACCTCTTCACCCTTGTCAACCATCTATAGGACTACCCTGTTCCCCCCGCAGCACCCCTAGTTCATCATTAGCAGATCCCTGTTTCCCTAACCATTGTTTCCCTTACCCAGTAGAACTTCAATCGAAGTCCCCTATTCCCTGAACTTTGTTCCCCCTTAACCTATAGCAAACCATGCAGTCCCCTTAGTTCATCAGTAGGACTACCCTGCTCCCTGCCGTCCATGTAGTTCATTTGTAGAATTACCCTGTTCCCTGCAACCCCCCTAGTTCATCAGTAGGACAACTCTGTTCACCGGTACCAAACCCTGTTCCCTCTTACTCACGCAGCCCATGCCACCCACATTATACCCCTCTCCCCTTCCGACTTGTTAACCAGTGATCGGCCCCGTCCCGTCCTTCACAGATTTCAGCACTGCTTCATGATTTTTGGCAGCCGGGACGTTGCCTTCTAGAGGGAGGGGATAGTGTTACGGACTYCGCCAGGGCTCGATCCCTGGTCTATCTTTTTGCTGTTTCGGCTGCATCCCGTTTTCGGCCTGGCACCCTTTTTCCAAAACCCTCCTTTGGTACCGTAGGATTTTGGACAACTGGCGCCATGCTGCAATTCGGGCCCCACTTTCAAATACCGCATTTTTCAGTTCTGCCCTCGGGGCCTTTCCAGAAATGCCCCTGGTACCGTACGTGTCACCGGTACTTATACCGGCTCCCCGTACGGTACGGGGACCAGTCTCGTACCAGTTTTCTGCTGCTGTACTCGTACTCAGTGTGACTTGCAGTTTGGGCCTTCGAAACCAAGACTTCGACTTTGTGCCTCAGCCCCTGGTTTGCGTCCGGGCGAGTTCAGCTGCGTGAGTGAGTGAGTGTGTGTGTGTGCTCTCACTCTCTCTCTCCCTCTGCTCCCTCCTCGTCCTCTGCCTCTGCACTCGTTACAGGTCGGGACTCATGCAACTCTCACTCTCTATCCCTCTCTCTCTCCGATATATCGACGATGTCGATCATCGTTTTTTCTCTTTTTGTTTTGGTCGATTCTTATTGAAGCACTCTCTCTCTCTCTCTCTCTCTCTCTCTCTCTCTCTCTCTCTCTCTCTCTCTCTCTCTCTCTCTCTCTCTC